ATTTTCAAAATCCACCGAAGCGATAATAGATTTCCTCTTTTTCATGTAAATAAATAAAATATCAAAACTATTGTTTCCTGCTTCTGTTTGTTGCACATGGTTTATTTCCTTCACTACTCTCATCCCCAAAAATTAACAGTTTCCTCTCAGAGATGAAAGTCTATGATCTGAACTATTAACATCACTAGTTTTGGCGCCATAATTGACTTCCTGTTGGACTGTTCAAAGTGACTATCTAGGTAACTAAATGAGACAAATAACACAGCCATTATTGTCTGTGTAGACATTTCTGGGAAAGAAATTCTGAGGAAGCTACAATCATTGAATGTCTTTTTTAAACCACAAAGAATTTAGATTTGTTTTATGGTACCACCAGACTGTCAATATTCGTATGAAATCAGTGGTGGTTATGATACACCTTTAAGCTTCGACCAGATAAAGAGGTATAATCAAACAAATATAATCTAAGTCTCAGAGCACCGTACCAACCAATTGAAAGTCATGCAAAGGAGATTCTTGAAGAGAGAAAAGTAATAATTGCATTTGGGCTATCAAAGATTTAGATCTATAGCATTTTAACTCACATAATACCTGAGTCTCTTGGCAGAACATTGACATAGGTAAAAGGTCATCTTCGAAACTAAACTCATAATCGATAAACAGACAATCCTTCGATGAACTCCCACCTACTTACTTTGGCCTGGATGCTTGGCTTCACTGAACAGTGGATACAGTACAATGACATTATATATAGCCCCAATCACAATAAACAGAAGTGAAGTAAAGAGAGCCACAAGTTAGGTGGTTAATGTCAAGACCGTCAAGTGATGACTTACAAAATGTCAGAGAATCCCTGAAGCTACAAAGGCAGTCATTACATGAGAAAAACAAATAATGACCATAAGCTATAGAGAGATATTGTTACACAACATGATCCTACTTTTCACAATACAGTTCATTCATAGATTAATTGGATTACTAAGAAGTAAGGTCTTTAACATGCTTGAAATAAACCCTATTTTTACCCAAGGAGACCTAAATATATCTCAAGATGTGACATTAAACTTTATTTTATTATACCCATGTATATTATGTGATACAATGTTATAATAATTTGATCCCTGACCGAATTCTTGATCCCGTTTAAGGATTAATTTAGATCTTCGAGATAAGCATAACAAAAGAAACACAATACGATAACCCCAAAAATAGAACAGGGTAATGGAATGTCTGTAGGTGGTTTTAATGAATTGTAAAAGTCATTTGAATCCACCAGATCTTACCCTTTCTCAACTACAAACAGTGCAGAATCGTCCAATTGAACCATTCCAACTACTACGACTACCAACAACTACCTAGTCTGCGATATCAGCTAGAAGTGGACGTTAACTTAAAATTGTCATATGCCAACCAACCAACCATCCAACCGGTTTTCTCAACTGTGTATGTGTATCAGGGTCAATGACAGCATCAATTTGCACCATTCCAATTTTCAGCCAGACGCTTAAAAGAATTCTAATTGTACGTACAGGTCTAAAAGTGTAAACCGATGTTATTAGTTTCCTAAGAAAACTTCATTACAGTCCATTTAATATATTACTAAATAATTTTTAATAATGTTTCTTTAATAATAAGAGGGAAATCTCATCTTCTCGTTGACAATGGAGTTCGTGTTGAAACATCATTAAAATGATGAAACGTGACGCTTGATGAACCTCACATCATATAAATAAAACCTGTACTGGCTCCTTTTAAACGATCGTGGTAGTTCATTTTAACTACATTCTTATCTGCATGTGTGATAACCGAGCATGCAACTTACTTTTAGGCGTTTTGAATCATGTCAAGGCTTTTTGAAATGATAATAACGTTATATATGTATTTGATGCGATTTCAAAGCAGAGAGATCACAGACAATCCATAAATCATTCTGTCATGGTTACCATGTTCCTTGAAATGACAAAACCATTAAATTAAGTATATTTTTTTTTTACCAAAAAATAACGTCGAGAGAAAATGGAACAGCAAGCTACTTGTCATGAACTTTTTATTTAACAGAGGTCATGAGACAATTGTAAAGTAGGGACCCAGAGAATCCACTCTTTCTTGAACGATATCTTTACTATTTACTCCTACGGTGTGATGTGGCGATTAGGGGGTAAACGATTTTAATGTCAATAGTGAAATTACTATTCACTTAAATTGAATGATCGCAAAAACGCATTTTATTATGTGCAAGAATTATCCAGGACGGTATGTGGCGAAATAACTGCACAATGAACTATTATGATAAAGGTCAACGACCACAGAAATAATGATAATGACCTGCTCCAGCTAGAATGTATTCAGGTCATTGACACGAGAACTGTCTCTGTCCGATGTGCTAGGATGATTCAAGCTATTTACCTCTCGCCTTCAATCGATATGACTACTGTTCTAGCTAGTTGACACATTGAACAAAACCATTCTGACTTTTCATGAGACTAGCAATCCGTTAGAAATTCTGTTAGACACCCACCTACTGCAATAGAGGCATTGGCAATTGAAAATCAAACATTGACGTAGGCACCAAATCTTCCTACATTGTTCCTCTAAAAGCATGATCAGTTCAGACAAATAATATCTGAACAATTATTATCATTATTTTATATGACTTAAAACTGGAAAGAGAAAGCAAATTATGTTCCAAACCTTTAACGTAGTTGGTGCTTCCTGTGTCCATCAAACATAAGCTGTAAATGACAGAGACAAATGAGAAATAAAGTCGGTCAACACCCTGGAGGTCAGTCCTTACGGTTATAGAATGACCAAAAAGTCATGACCAGGGTCTTAGTCAACAGGTCACGACCTTTCGGCCATTACAGCTGTACAGATCAAATCTAAACACGAGAGTAATTAAAGAATTTAGATTATGAGCTTGACCGCTGATGAACCTGACAGTATGGTCAGTCTAGACCAAGGGTCAAACAACGGGCACCTGTTTAAATCTGACGTCATAACACATAATCGGTCATCGTATGATTACGTAACGCACATATCCAATAACGAAAACAAACGTGAACTTGATGTGTCTATTAATTGGACTGGAAAATGCATGTTATAGTTTGCACTGGCCCATTGAAATCATACGATCAGAGAGCAGAACGTAATATTTTATAGAGTAAATTTGTTTTCTTGGTGTGAAATACTGCCACAACAGCTGATAAACATTGTTTAATAGACCGCACAACAATTTACCATATGAAATGAGAAGAGCATCTAAAATTAGACATAAAACATGTCAAGTCTGAGCGACCTAGAGTACCTGCAAAACATGGTAAACAATGGCAGACCATCTATGCATCTATGCAATCACTCACTCAATATAACGCATCAATAACACTTTTTCTATGTAGGCCTAGATTAGTAATACATCATAAATATATACTTTTGGCGAAAAAAAAGTCGTGGTTACGTATATTTAAAAAAATTATTTTTCTACTTAGAGGTAAGTTTCCATGGTGATGCATAATAATCATTACAAATAATAAAAAGTGAAAATTTCCCGCGGCTATTTCGTGTGACAAGCAAAAGAGTATGTGTAGAGGAAAGTATGTAACTGACAACGCTCTGGGCAATGTCGATTTGACATACAATATAATAACTTTATACCCCATACTGCTATTAAGATAAAATATATTTTCGTTTCTCTTCTCATACATCTCAAAATTTAACGTACCTTTTATTTTGCGCCATATTTGCTAATAGCATAATAGCAGCAAAATGTACCTTTAAGAGAGTACACCAGAGCGATAACACTGTATCTTAAATAACTAATAAATCGTCATAGAAAGTCATAGTTAGAGCCTACTGGTCAATTCACACCTGCTCACACCTTTACGTCAAAGTTCAAAGGGTCATGACGTCATTGTTTTTAAAGCTAACCTGACTTGATAAAACTCAGCATCTATATTTCATTGACCATGCTGTGGGTTAGCTACAAAATGTTTCCAAGGGCGTAGTTTAATGGAGGCACATGAGGAAAAATGCTTCACTTTTCAAACAACGACCAACCTTTTTTCAAAATCCAACTTGGATTGCGCTACAGCTCATCTTCTTTCGTAAAGTATCCTATTGATTAAAAGTTTGACCACAAACAAAACTTATCAGTCGAATTAACTAATTGTGACCAGATGAAAAATTATTCACATACAAAGCAATGTCAAGACGTTCATGTGAATTTCGTGTAAAAACGTTGAGCAAACCGAACACTAAATTCGGATCATGCCAGTGTCCAAGGAAGTTCAGAACTTGATAATTGAGAAAAAAAACTCCAAAAAAATCGGCATCATAGAGACTAACTAGAAAGTTGGATAAATTTTATTTTGATTGGTCAATTACTGTCAAACTGGCGGATGCGTCGAATTCCAAAAGTAGTCTTCAATGACAACAAATCAAAGTTGGATTGTACAGACAGCAAGTAATGACTACAATTAGACTGACAGAAACGTGGGTGGCAAAATGATTACCACATTAAAATAATCATGATGTTGGCATTTGCAGAAAAAAGAGATTCGGCCAGCTACAAAAATTGTCTTCATGAAGAACGTGAATATGGAATTTTCAATGAAATATTAAATTAAATCAGTTTCTCATCACGACAAGGCAGATGACCACAAGGCCATTGACTGTTTAAATATTCACTTTACCTACCCAAAGCATTATCATTTCAATCCAGTAGAGTAGAATTGAAACAACTTTCACAAAAAGAAACAACCTCGTACTCGTAGATCTGAAACAACCTCTTACTAGTAGATCTGAAACAAGTTCTCCAACTAGAGCTACTGGTAGGTCTGAAACGACTTTTTCAGCTAGAGTGACTGGTAGATATGAAAACTTTCACAACTAGAGTTACTGGTAGATCTGAAACAACTTTTACAACTAGAGTTACTGGTGGATCTGAAACAACTTTTACAACTAGAGTCACTGGTAGATCTGAAACAACTCCACACATATAGCTACTAGTAGATCTGAAACAACCTCTTACTAGTAGATCTGAGACAACCTCTTACTAGTAGATCTGAAACAACTTCTACAACTAAAGTTACTGGTAGATCTGAAACAACTTCCCCAACTAGAGTGACTGGTAGATCTAAAACAACTTTTACAACTAGAGTGACTGGTAGATCTGAAACAACTTTTATAACAAGAGTTACTGGTAGATCTGAAACAACTTTTACAACTAGAGTTAATGGTAGATCTGAAACAACTTTTACAACTAGAGTGACTGGTAGATCTGAAACAACTTTTACAACTAGAGTGACTGGTAGATCTGAAACAACTTTTACAACAATAGTTACTGGTAGATCTGAAACAACTTTTACAACTAGGGCTACTGATAGATTTGAAACCTCTATTTAAATATATATATTTAAAATAAATAAAAGACGCTTGAAAATAGTCTAATGATTGATGGGTACGTCTCCAAATTTAAATTAAAATTCAATTTCCTTATTACATCGATAAATATAGAACAAAAATTGAATAAGCTAATTAGCTGCATTTTTAATAATAGGCCTATTGCAATCCATCATTTCATTATCAACATAGCATATTGATATGTGCGCATTAGCATAGTATGAAACATTTTGAATCTCATTTACAAGCAAATTGTAGCAAATGAAATGAAACAGGTTTCCTTTAGTTTTACCTTCAGATTTTGATAGGTGAAAACCGCCATACAGTGTGCAATATGGGAAATTTGATAAAAGTATTAGTACCAAACGTATCATGGCTTCTCAAGACTACATGTATCTGCACTTGGTAAAATAACAATCTTTGTGGTTGAAATGGGATATTGATCATGAACCACAGTGAAAGAACACTCATATCGGCTTGCTAATATTCTTTTTCTGAGTGTATTCGTCTGAATAAATTACATGGGTATATCATTATCTAGATCACCATTAAGTCGAGCAAGTACGAAAAAACATGCATTAGCCGCCATTACAAGTTGAAAGATCTCTGATGAAGTTATCATATATATATTGATTGAGTGCAAAAATGTCACGTAGAAGTCACGGTTTAAATCTAGTTAATCAATGTTTCTTTTTTACAAAATATAGTAACTCTCAAAATATCACACTTTTCGTCGGTCAAAAAACAAACAAATTTTTTTTTTAAAACCATGACCACAATGGTCAACGTGTAGGTATTCCGATCTCGATATCCCGTTAGATGATAACTGGTTCAATATGACGTCACGTAGGCCTATATGGATTATTGACTTGAATTTGGGCAAGTATGTTACGTCGTTTCGATGAGCACTTCAAGTGGACAATGACACATACGAGAGATTTCCTTTTAATATTATAAAGGCCGATGCAAGTCATGAAACATATAGTCAGAATAAATAGGTCATATTATGCAGAAGTTACATCGACCTTCAACGAACTATTGGGCGCAATTTTCATAGAGAAGCTTCTATTGTTCTAATATATCCACATTTACTGAAAAATATAGGCAACTGAATATGTATAGGTACCATACAAAACAGTAACCCTTGTCAATGCCTTTCAAAATTAAATGCAAAGCTTGGAACGTACCCAAAAATCACAAAAAAAGCATGGGCACTGAACCAAAAGGCAGTGTTTAGGTTAGTGCACACTTCTGAACTAATTTTAGTATACATGGATAACCAATAATTTTTAGCATACACACACTGTTATGTGGATCAAACGTTACGTAAACAAACAGACTATGACCATTTCCCGCCAATATATCATTCATATTTAATGATCTTTCCTGAATATATGTATACGAACAATGGAGATAAAAACGTGGTGATATTATCATGTACGATATGAATATAGTTGTACACCCATTATATTCATTGAATTTATGTTGAAACCACAATACCACACATACGCGTGGGAGTGGTATGGCCTATTTAATAATTTTAAATACTATATTAACTCACAATATGTTTTAAAAAAACTTACCTTCGGAGTTTAATATCCAAGAGAAATGTTACCTCAATTCTGCGCTCAAAATAACCTACGTGAAAATGTGAATGTAGTACATGTATACTATATTATTTGTACCGACCTAGCTTTTAGCCAATCAACATTCGTTATTCATGGGTCATATTTAAAACATTGGCTGGCGCTTGACCTGATGTCGACTAGAATTGTCGATTTTCTGACTAACTATTTAGAATGAAATGTGGTCGATCAATATTAGGCAAAGTGACTGGATAACCAAATGCAGTAAATACACTCAGGTCTTTCTAATTGTTTTAGCCGACTTACTGCAAGTCATCATGACCCCATTACAGCTGCATCTGCAACTACTGGTAATAACATAATGGCCTATTCTGAATTTATATTTAATGTGTCATATAAAGATGGTTTCTCGTGGTCATCATAACCTCACCGCATTATGAATAACAGAATATGACCACAATGTCAATTTAAAACCAATCCACATTTGTAATTAACAGTATAAATATTAGTTACTAGTTATGCAAAATCCAACTACATCAAGTTTAACTGGAGAATCTATAGGCATAGATCGGTCTTTATAACCTTAGCTCCTGTGATTCTTACAGCAGCTCAACATACATAGGGACTGGTTGAAACAAATACCATTGTCTCCCTATCCCTAAAGGGGTCCCCATCCAAGACAAAATATTAACTGTCTACAGTCCAGACTACTTTTACAACATACAATAAGGCTACAACATACTGAAGTCCCGACCCACATACTCATCTAGTTGAGCCACTGTATGTTTTAACATGATCTCGCATTTTGCAAAAATTCTGATAACCAACCAATTCCATTACTACAAGTAAGCATCATACACCATTTCTCTCCCGGATATACTACCTGCTTCCTGAATAATCAAGCCTGCATGCAGAAAGTTTGAGCTTTCGCGTTATGTTTGTGTTCATTTAAAGGGAACAGTTTGTTGAATTTGAGCTTTGTCAACTGGTAAAACACATATCTATACGACTTCATCTCTTCAACAATAGTCATATTTTTCTGTATGTAAACTGTTTTTGTGAGCATGCTGAAACACCGAATGCCTTTTGACTGTAAAATAATCAGACCACAATATACCTGGGCAAACTAAATACATGGTTCTTTAAATGTTAAATGTTGTCATGAAATGAATTACTTGAGTGGTGAATAACATGACAAATGAACATAAAAAACTTTCAAAACAGGTTTTTTTTAATTGATTGCGGTCTGTCTTACATCTTTCTGCATACTATTTGGTTATATCTACATCACCAAGATTAACATATTTCTCGAATGAAACACGGAATTAAATGGACACAAAAACAAACAGAAAAATCGATAAAAATATAATCGACAAAATTATACAACACAGAGGAATAATATGTTTTTCTGACCGACAAATAAATAGGTAATTATCAAGTAATCCGCTTCTCATTGCATTCAATTTTCTTTTCTTTATAAAGAACTTATTTATCTCAAATTTACTAAATTAGCTACGTTGTTGGCTCAAAAGATGAAAAAGAAACAAAGACTTGTTAATTGAACTACATTAGCAAAGTTATTTTGATGTGGAGTAAATATGTTTTTGACTTTTTTGTATGGTACGATAATTCATATTTTCGATACTGGCATTGAAAACAACTACAGTTACTTTGCATAACTTGTTACTGGCTTTTATACAAAAGTCTATTTGATACTGGCTTTCCAACAATAATATTAATTTTAATGGGTATGAGTTTTATGGGTTTAAGCAGATAATGATTTACACATGACATGAATATTAATACAAAACGATAATAGATTCAATATCATATTTGTACTGGCTATTACATCAAGCCGGCTTTCATAAAAAATGATACTGGATTTTATATAACTAGTTTCGATACAAATGATACAAATTATATTGACTTTAATACAAACGGTACTGGATTTGGCATTATTGTGATACTGGCTTTAATACAAATGATTGCTATCATCCGATACTGGCTTTAATAAGAATTGCAATAGGCCAATTGTTTGTATACAAATGATACTGATTTTTGTTTTACAGATGATACCCGGTTTTATACAAATGTTAAATATCACTGTGATACTGGTTGTAATAATAATTGCAATAGGCTATTACTTTTATATAGATATTGGCTTTATTTTTGATTGTGATTCTGGTTTTTATACAAATGATACCGGTCATATAAATGAAATTCATTATGACAATAGCATACATTATGTACAAGTTTCATATTGATATCGTACATTATGACGACATTTGGAATAACAAACCATTCAGAACAAAATATGCTAACATATTGAGAACAGGGAAAATAATCCAAATTTCAATACATATTTCCAGTATAATGAGATATTAGAATGTAATTATCATCAACCATCAGATTAATTCACAATTTATTAGCCCCATATACCAGAGCCTGTATATATTGTTATCAAGGGTACTAAGAACTTCAAATTTCACCATTTCGATATCTCATACTCAGTCTATGATTTCTGTAATTATTCCAAGAGCTGCGAGTCCAATATGGTCAAATTTCGGTTTAGGGTTTGTATCTGGTATAAAGCTCAGAATTGACTCCGCCATAGTCCGAGATAATACCTTAAGATTTTTCCTTTCTCGTTTCTCTGATCAGTGATACACGTCCGAGAGGCAGAGATTAAAAACGCGCCTGGAAGGGAAAAAATCACCTTTCATTAGCCCTTTCAGGAAAGGCGCAAAACCCATGCCCATATATATATAAATATATACATGCTCCATAAACGTCGGCGTGAAATCGGACTGGTTTCTCGTGATTCACATACAAAGGCTTATAACCGTTTTAATTGCTCTAGGAATCTTGAATTCATGCTCCATAAAAACCCAGAGAAAAACAAATTACTGTAATAAATTAATCATAATAGGTGGGAGTATCTGAAAATAATAAATTATACATGAAAATATTTAACAAATAACTTACCAAAATAAGTTGAAACTTTTCAATGTGGTTTGTTTATCAAGTAATTCATAATAAAACAGCTTTATCAAATATGAAGAAAGCAATAAACAAACTGGCAGTGGCGAATATAAATTAGGCCTACATGAAATACATACAAGCAGTCTGATAAACTTCACAAGTAGCCTTTATCATCCAACCTCAAAAAGTCTATAGACACATCAAAGTCTGGATAAACTGAGACTAAATGACGAAATATTCAATGCATCATGGGATAGAAGTTTATAGAGAAGGCATTGCCCGCAGTTGAACTTTAAACACAATGGTATAGAGGTTAAAGTTGAACGACCTAATAGATGGAGAAACAAATAGATTTGTTTATGAAGATTCCTGGTAGCTATTATCCTGCAGGCGAAGTGAGACTTGATAATCTGATGAAAATGTAT